CCCACCACCCACCCCTCATTTGTGCCTTGCCTCCCCACCCTGGAGTATTCCCTCCGGGTCACCAGCACTGCCTTGGCAGAGCCCACTCCCTACCCTAACCTGCCCACCCTCCCTATCCCCCAGCATTAGGGTGATACTGTGGGGAAGTGCTGGGGGTCGGGAGGTAGCCGAGGAATGGGGCAGTTCCCGGGGGCATTGAAACCAAGTATTATGAATTGTAATTGTATTTGCACTGTTTTTTTTTCTCTTATTGCATCAGCATATATACAATATACCTATATAACAAAATTTAGTGTCAAGCTTTCTTACGCAAGGGATTTCCCTTACCTCACCCCCCCCCAAAAAAAAAAGAACCTAGTTTCCTGGGCCTTTGGCGGGGGATTGCCAGGGGATGATAGAAAGAAAGGACTTTAACAAGTCATCCTAAGAAAGTCTCACCTAGAGACAGCCACATCCGTCTGCGCACAGTTTTAGGCTTCATAAGTTGGGGTGAGGATAGGCTACTATGAAAGCTAAGGCTCCTAGTCCAGGCTGGAGAGTAAAGAGAACCACAACACAAAGCGGGGTGTGATGGTGGCACAGTCTGGAGACCTGGGGTCTAGTCCCAAACTTCCCTACTAACTTGCTATGGTAGAGTTAATTTTCTGGGTCTCAGTTTTCTTATTTGTGAAATGACAGTGGAAATCATCTTGCCACCAGTTAATGCTATGCTTCCTTCCCCAGCCTGCAAAACAACTTGAGGTGAGGAGAATGTTGGGCTGAAAAACCAGGGAGAAAACCAGAGTGACTAGTGCTGAAGTGGTTATATGTGTGACAGTGCCCTTGGAGAGCTGCCAGGCTTCTGCTGTTACTTTTGGTTTGGGAAAGGCAGCAGAGTGATGTCTTGGACATCGGTAAACCTGTAACATCTTTTCCCTTATGCCTCTAGTCATTTGAGGGTAGGGGCAAGCCTCAAGCCCCACCTCGCAAGCAGCCACAGGACCCTTAAGGGTGACTGACCAGTGAGTGCCCCAGGTTAGTGGTCTAGTGACTTACACCCTTTGTGAGCTACAGGTTGTGAAACTTCCCCTATCATCTTGGTGACATAGTAGGAGAGCTCAGACTTAGTCCCCATCTTGTCTCCTTTCCTCATATCCCATCTGAACTCCCTAAAGGCAGCTGTCTCACACACAGCCTGTCTCCTTCAGGGGCCCAATTTCCCCACAGCCTGGGCTAAGTACTCCCACACGCTTTAGGTTCTTGGCTGGTAAAGCCTGGAGAGGATACAGGATGATGGATGAGGCCTTGGTGAAGGTAAAAGGATAGACTGGGATGGGGGGTGGGGAGCAGGGAGGTGGAACGGGGAATGGCCTTCT